CTCAAAATCAATTCCTCGACGGAAATATTTCTTTTGGAATTAATTTGACGATATTACTTGAATTCGTTTTTACAGAGACTAAGTTTAAATATTAAAAAAAAATTTTTTTTTTAAAAAAACTTAAGTAAATTATACTTCCAAATTTTTCTTTTACTAAATTTCTAAATTTAGAAAATGGAAGCTGTTATAACTGTTGAATAAATTTTTATTCCATAAATATACAATTTATTGTTAATTAACAGTCAGGTAATTACTTAAAAATGCCAACATGATAATTTTCAACATTTTAATTATATTTGCCATAGAAAAAAATAAAAACTAACAAAATTTATTTTTCACACTTTATTTTGAATACAATGCTCTAAATATCATAAAAGATAAAAATGAATTTTCTTTTTATTATTCACCAGTAATAGTTGAGTTTATTTTTTTTTGCTATAGTGTACACATACTTACACGGGTTAATAGTTAATAGGTCAGTGCTTTATTTTATTTTTCTATACTTATTCTTTATCAAGAGTTCAGGCTTTCTTTTATATTAACATTTTTGTTACTATTTTAAATAATGGTTGTTTACATACATTTTTTCCTCGTATTTTGTGATCCATTTTATACTAGGATTAAGTATGTTTTGAATAGTAGACTATTGAAAATATTTTAATTTAAACAGTTGTTGCTGTTGATTACAATTAAATTTAGATTATCTAATGAAATGTCCTTCCTTCTCCGATTTTGCATAAATCCCAGTTTGAACCCAACACCCTTTCTATAATGTCATTATTTTGATTAGTTTTATTATCAGTTGGCGTAGCCTATGATTAATTTTATTTGAAGCACTTTTTGTCGAAAATCCAAAATTTAAAGACTCCAAAATTTAAAAATTATCGTTACTTTTAATATGACGTGAAAGTATTTTAAAAATACTTTTTAAAATTAACTTAAATGTTTAAAAAAATCTCATTAATTTTCGGTTTCGACTTTTTAAAAATCAATTTTAGATATTTAATTTAACAAATTTCAGTCATATTCAATTTTCGGTCCCACACATCACCCCCACTTACTAATTTATGTTTGTTGGCAAATGAAAAATGATCACGGTGATAAAATTTACTAAAATATTAGGTATATGTAGATTATTTTTTGAAATATTGTTGCAAAAAATTGAAAAAATTTAAAAAGCAATTCTTGACCCTATATTTCGCTGTATTCACATTACCTAGTATTAATCTAGTATTAATCACGTTTTAATAAACTTTTTGCTAATTCTAAATATTTCTGAAGTCTTTTTTTTCTTAAACATCTGGCAAGCTCAAAGATGTACATATTATTATTATATATTTTAATTGTATACAGAAAATAAAATGTATTTAAAAATCAAAATAATATTAAACACAATATATAAATATTTGAATAATACATAAATAAAACTTATATATGTACATATAAATATATTTAGGCGAGCAATTGAATGTTAACTGTTATAATAATAATGTTAGATAGTAGAAAGATTTGTTAGTTAATTTAATTAGAGCATTTGACAATGAACTACATTCATCTAGAACATACTTATTTATAAAAGTAAAACATAAATATACAACACAAGTATAATAAGGAATAAAAAGAAATAGCGAATATTTTTGTTTGCAAAAATTTTTAGTTGCATTTTAAGCAACTAAGGTACTCAAGATTTTAAAATTAAGAATTTTTATAATATTTTTGCAGCAGTAAAAAGATAATGCATGCGCAATGAAAAAAAAAAATATTCGTAGCTACATTTTGTAAGTATGTAAGAATATAACTTTTTTACATTCTGACATGCATGCATACATGTACATATGTATGCGTAAGAAATAGAAATTGTTTAGAGAATTATCCAAGTTCAATCCCTTTAATGTACAATTATTTTTAAAACCATTTCTTGTTAAAAAATTCCACTTACTTTAGATGAGTTCCTTATTTTAATCTTACATTAATTTTCCAAAAAATATTGTAATATTAAAAAATTCATAAAAATAAAAAAAAATAAACTGTACTATGAACACCATATTATTGAGATGATTATTAAATTGATGCATATGTAAGCAATCGATGACAGTTATACAAATATTTATAACATTAAATTGTAACAGTGTTGTCAACTGAATTCATTAATAAGCTATGATAAGAATATATGTATATATATATAACTTTTTTGCCATTGTTTCTATTTTACAAATAAATTGTAAATACATAAATACATATATGTGAAGCTTTTGAAGAATGAATTAAAATATTGCTTGCATCAGAAAAAATTTTTAAAATATTTTCGGAAAAAGTAACCAGATTTTACACAAACATACTTATTGTAAGTTGCATTGGTTTTAAAACGAAAAGAAATGCAACAAATTATTGGTTATCAAATTTATAATTGAAAATTTTCTAATACTTGTCATTAGATTTTTCATTAGATAATATATTCTAATATTATCAATATGTAAGAAAAATTCTTGCCCCACATACTAAAAGGCATAATTAGATGTGTACATGTCATTTACATTGACCACATGTGTCTTAAATATGCTTTAAAAAACACTTCATTGATACTCAAAATTTTTAAAAAAATTTACTACTTATGCGCTGTTCACATTGCTGCGATATTGTAGTCGCAGCGAGAGTTGTACGAGATATCGTAAACATGTCGTCGCAATCCAGTTTACATTAGCAGTAATTAACCGATAGTAATTGAATAAAAAACAATATTATAACATAATCTCAAATATTAAGTATATCAATTATTTCAAAATGACATTTGACATATTCCATTGTTATCGCATGTTGTGAGTATCTCATGTCGCAGCAATATAATTTACCTTATTTAAATCACTGGATTGAAATTGTTTTTTTATCAGTGGATTGAATTCCAGTGTATTATTTCCAGTAGAGACAGCTCATTACCTAACAAATTTTTATCGGATTTATTGATATTCATTCTTGTTTTGAAAGTATTTGCCATCCCTAAAATTTTTGTCATATGACAGGTGAAAATTTTTAATTTAAATGTCCACTGGAAACTTTATTTGAAAGTTAATTTTTTAAAAGAGTTAGTTACGTTAAGGTTTTATAACTGTTATGTGTACAAGCACTTATACTTTTTAAAGAAATTTGTAAATTAATAATGCCAAAAAACCATAATTTAATACGAAATTATTTAAAAAAAAAGGGAACTGAGCCTGAAATTCCAACTATTGTAAGTTTGTGTTTTTTGTTTTGTTATTTATTTTAAATTTTTGTTTTGCATTTTTAAGTAGAAATTTCAATTAATTTGTTGAATTATATATGTACATATATTGCTTATGTAAAAATTTATATTATATATTAGATATTTTATGCAAGTATAAAAAACTTATAAAAGGCTTTATAATTAAGGGTTAATTTCCATAAAGATAAAAAAATGTAAATGACATGCTTCGTTAGCTTACAAAATTAACTTAGTTACTTACATATACATATATGTATTTATGGAAAAACAAATCTACATATTTGCGCATATTAAATAGAAAAATTGCAGGAAAACAGGCGCATAATTTACTCATTTTCATTAAGTACGTACATACATACATAATTTTGTTATAAGTATACATACAACATATACATGCAATACAGTAAAAGTACTGATGATTGATTTTAAAATATTTTTTGGTTTATATACAAGTATCAATAATTATGTTTCTTTTAATGTTTTATTTTAAGAATAATGTTATTCCGCTTACATATATTGTAATTCGTTCAGAATTCCAACAACATGTTTCAATTATTAATGAATTCGTATTTTATAATTTAGCTATTAAAAACAATTTCATTATTATAATATTACGATAAGTACAAGAGTAATTTTAATAGTAAGTACTAACATTGTATAAACTGCTGAACCTTTCCTCACAGTGGTTATAATGTTGATCTTGAACAAATTATTTTTTATATTGTTCTAAGAAATTGTAATTAAAAAATACAAATTTCGAAAGATTAACAACGATATGAACAAAAACTTATAACTCAGTAACAATGACAGTCCAGAACTTACAACTTGGTATATATATATTAAGTTTGCATAAAAGAACATCATTAAAATTTTTAACTGGTACCTATAATAAAGGCTAATATCATGAAAAGATTTAGAAATTCTTCTTAGAAATAAGAAGAAGAAATTGAAATAAATAAGAGGTTTATTCATATTAAGCTGAGGCTTCGTACAAACTTGTTGGGGCTCGCATTAATTATGCTTTAATTTAATATGCGCCCTATGTAAAATCAGTTTGGTAAAACAAAATATAAATTTATTTTCGCACTTTTACTCATTTTAGTTTAAAATTTCAAAATTTTTAACATCACATTTAAGTATAGCTACCTACTACATTCAGAAAATATTATTTTTGTTTATACTTTATTTTACAAGTACCTAATTAAGTATAACAAATTTTTTCATAGATAATTTATTAATTAATAACATTGAATAATATAAAGACATAAATTTATTTACATACCTATATTAAATTTTCATTCAATATTAAAAATTTCTTTAAAAATTTTCAATTAATTGGCAACTCTTTTTGAGAATTTTTTAACCTTTTATTATTTACATACATATACATATGTATGAATGTATATAAATTTATGATTATTATGTATGTAGCTATAACTAACAAAATCCATGTGCACATTGTACACATTCTTATACTCGTATCTTTATTTTTCTTAAAACTTTTTATAATTCTCTTCTTTAAATCTCAGAATTTACAATATCTCTTAGACTTACTTAGTCATTGGAAAAAACAAATATGAACATTTTTTTTTTCTGATATTTTTTTTATACATTTTATATGTGTATATGTATGTATATTTAAGTAAATGTTTTATGTTGAATACTTTCATACTTACTTGTACAAGTGAGTGGGTACACATACTTAATACTAATAATATTTTATTTATACCTACCTATTTAAGTCTTAAAGCTTCCAGTATAAAAAGTGTTGTCTCCAACATCATAACAAATGCGAAAAAAAAGTTTACTATAGAACAGCCGGTCGGTTATAATACTTACCATATTTATTAATTTCTAAGTTTAAAAAAAAATTATTAAATAAGTACATAATTTATATTTATGTAAAATAATTGTACATAGGTTTATAATATAAAAGAAAATGTAGTATAAATTTGTAAATTTATTAAAAATATTCATGTTTTTCAAAAAAATAATAAATTTTTCAATTTTATGAAATTTCATTTTAAATAATTTTTAAAAAAATTAGCTATAATAATGAAATAATGATAATAAAAGATTAATTTTAAAATTGATTCAATTAAAATGAAAAAATTCATTTATTTATGGCCTATTAATAATTTGTGAGCTTGTATATATATTAGATAAGTATGTGTTATTAAGAAGAAACAAAAAAAAATATGTTGTATGAATGTCAATGCATACCAGCGACAGCAATAATACGAAAAAAAATTGAAAGTAATAGGTAATGACTAATAATAGTATTAGTAGTGTTCCAAAATAAGAAAAAAACAGAAATTCTATTAATTTTATCAATCACAGTAAAATTAAATTCAGTGTCATGACAGTGCGATCAAAAGTTAAATATTATAATAATGTAAAAAAGCTTTCCTTTGTTATTATAGTAAACATAAAAGAAATAAATAAATTTTAGTATATATAGGAAAAAAATATAATTAAAGTTATAAACAAATACATCCCTACAAATATATAATATATTTGTATATTAATTGTTGTAGAAAGGTGAGAAAAGCTTTCTTTTTCTTTGATTATTTCTCTTTCATTTAAAATCGTATGTATATGAAATGTTTTCAGTGGGCCACGTGTTACTTAGAAAACTTTTTTTTCTTTCTTATTTTTAATGAGTAAGTATATTAAAATCAATATAACTTTATGTACCTACTCGTATGTATAAAAATCAAAAACATACGATACAATATTATGTTCTAAATATTTACTTTTATATAAGATTTATGCGTTTAACTATATACAATTTTCTATTAACTGGAGATGGAGTAATGCGATGTTTTAGAGTTTAAGTAATTAGTACTATATTCTTGCAATAATTAAAATCGTAGTAGTAAATAATAAAGTAGAAGAATATAAGTATGCAAATATGCATATGTATGAATTTATGTAATATAATTATATACAATATTGTTATACGTACATAAACCAAAATTTTTAACAAAACATTTTAACATTTATATTGTACACTTGCATTGGATGTATTTATACTTTGATTTATATATGCATTGTATATAAAAACATGCATATATACATATAGGGTACTTTTTTTATTTATACATTATATATGTATGTATGTATATTTCAAGTATTTAGTTGTTGAAAAAAAAATTAATTATAAACAAGATTACATTTGTATTTATTTATTATTTTTTTTTTTGTTATAAGTAAGACACAAATTTGTTTACAATCAAATACCTAATAACAGTCAATTAATGCGTCTGAAAAACCAAATTAAATTATTTTTCTTTTCCAACATAGGTACCTGGCTATTATTTTTTAAATATAAACTTAATCAAAAAAAACTTGATACTTACTTATATGGAGTTTCAAATTAAAATCCAGATGAGATTGTATGTTCACATATAAGCCCACCAAACCACTTAGTTAAGTAATTCAGGAATTAAATCAATAAATCATAAGTAGTTAATTAATATTATCTATATACTTATGGGAAAAAAATCTTATTAACATAAACATTGCATACGTTTTGGAGGAATCTAGTAGTACCGGTTTTAAAAAAATAATAATTTGTCATCTTTCTATATTCATAAATTTTACAAATCGCTCACATAGCGACTTAAACTTACATTTCCACATAGCACATAGCGACTTGTTAAAAATTTACATTTTCATGTGACGTTAAAGGGTTAGAATTATTTATTTAAGTTTATAAAAATAAATTTGATAAACTAACTGTTGGTAAAAATTACTACTTTTAGTAAAATGCATTATCTTATTTATTGTTTTCATTGTCAATAAGTGACAAATTGTTAAATTATTATTGAGCGCAGCGCCGTTTTTAATTCTGTATCTGTGCTTAACTGAAAATAATATTCTAATCATAATCTTTATTTTCATAAGTTGTTTATAATTGCTGATTACTGATTAATTGCTGTAATTAATAATTTTCAGTGAATTTGCTTTTGTATAATGCGAAGTAACTTAAATACTAGTAGCTTATCCGATTCTTATTTGTTATACACATGCTTGCTTGAATATAAGTAGTACCAAAACTTAATTCATAATTCTAGTATTTTATAAATTGCGTTAAATAATTTTTATTCTATTTAAGTACTTTCATGGATTGCAGAACTAGGTTTTGACTTGATGGATTCTTCTTCCCGCAGAATCGGTCATAATCTATAATTAACCGATTAATTTTATAAAATAAGTATTACAAATAAATTATTGTTATTGATTTTGTTGTAAAATAATTTCTGTTATCTTATATGAATATTAACCCACAATTTGTTTATTATAAGGAATACAATTTGAATTAAAGTTGAAAAGGTTGCTTTAAAGATTATAACATAATTTTTAAAACAGAAATTTAAATTAAAACAATGTAACAACGCCTTTCAATGATGTTCAGTTTTTTTTTTAATATTTTACAATACAAGTTCACATTTACTTACTAACATGTTTGTAAAATACAACATCGTATAGATCATGGACATTTTTATATTATTTTATTGCAATATTACTCGTAATATTTTGTTACGTGTAAATACTAATTTTCTCATACTTATTTGCATTTTTTCATTTTCACGGAAAATACGTGAAGAGAATAATTATATTAATCAAATATTCTATCTTAGGACGTTATTGATCGATCACGGATACATGTAAACTGCAAAACATTGGGAAAAAAATTTACATTTAATAAAATTGAATACAAAGAAAATAAGTAAACCAAAACATTAACAATACTAATCTGTACATACATACGTACATGCATTATATTTTTATATAAAAAGAAGTCATTTTATATAATTAAAAATTAAACAGTTTATTTATGGATTTTCTGTTTGGAGAGCAGTGAAGGACCATACACATTAGTTTTTATAAATATAAAAACGTTTTGCAAAAAGTAAAATACTGAGGTTTATTTTTGATATTAAATCTAAGTGATACTTTAGTTATATTTATTGAAAAACCTTAATATTACAAATTGTAAGCAAAAACCATTTTTCGAATTCTTATGATAAACAATTCGCCTTCTAGAATCACTTTTGAAATTTAGTTACACTTATTTTGTTTTTGTACTTCTCATCAATTTGAAAAATGATTTGTTTTCAAATTTATGGAAACGTTTTCGAATTTATTTAAGTGTGTTTGAAATGAATTTTTGTCTTAAATATTAATCAAAGAATTACTTTTAAATTAATAAGTTCAGAGTTATTAAACTGTTTCTTTCAGTATTTTCGGAACAGAATCGTCAACAACAAATAAATGAAACTGAATAAGAAGATATGTTTCTCTTGTCACATTCAATAATCGAAATATCCATTACAATAAATTTCGGCATATCAAAGTCTAAAAAAATATGAATTCACTAAAAGTTTGTCTGGAGAAGATTTCAATTTACAAAATACTTAGTATTATTTTCTTAAATTTATTTGTAGAATAGTTAGAAAAGAATAGTTAGAATTAGTAGAATAGTTAGAATTATACTGATTTGCCATTTTATAATTCATATATCGCATTCTTACAATAAGATTAGGTCAATAACTTTTTACGTTTAAGTTTTCTTAAAAAAAAATGTTTTCTTTTGTTTTCAGCATAAAATTCAAAAAAATTGTTATCCTATTTACCTTAAGTTCAGTTCTTTAAAAGCAATTACTCGTGATTATTTTTATAATGTATAACAATTATTCTACTTATATTTTATAATTATTCACCTAATGAATGCAATTTCCGATCTTTGAAGTAGACGTATTATTTTGTACATTCTTTTTCTTTCTTACATGTGCAGGTGGCATGTTCGGCATTACAAAATTATGGCAAGCATTATTTTGCAAATGCATAAATATATGGGGTTATTCTATGAGAATATTCAAAATATATTTTAGAAAGGAATAAAACAAAAATTTCGATTAATTATAACGATTGGTTTTACACACACATACACGTTAGTTAATGAAGATGCAATTTTATCGGCAATCATTTATTTTAACATTAATTTAAACTGACGGCGAAAATCTGACTATTTCTTTATTAAATAGCATATACGTCTATATTAGTGATGTAGTGATTCTTCTTTTCTTGCATTTTCCCGAAAAATCTGTGCTCTGAATTTATATATTTGAAGTACTCATTATTTGTGATCTATTTCCAGTTTTTCTCATTTATTAATCTAACGGATGATTAATATATTTTGCTCTTAAATAATCTAATGACTATTCTGAAGGTTTTAGTCAAAAATATACACATACATATATGTGCCCTAAAACGTTACCGACTTTGTTTGCGCTTAAGGATTAATGTACCAGTACCAATTATTTTGAAGATAATTTTAACTAATGAATTAAGAATAAAAAATTGTTCCATTAATTTAGTGACACCTTAGATTTGTTTAATATCCATCAGAATCAGATTTGTAAAATGTTTACCAGAAGAAATTTCAGATTTTCTTTTGATTTAATTACAACACAATAGAACCTATTGATTTCCGTAAATTGAAATGATAGATTGAACAATAAGTGGATAAACGTACATACATATACATATTTATATATTTTTGAAAACACTTTCATTAATTTTTTTCATTTAAAAGTTTCATATGGTTTATTTAGTATATATAAAATATTTACTCTTATTATTTTTTATAGAGTGGTGCTTTAACGCAAGACATGTTGCTGTCTACAGGAGAATCATCCGCTTATTCAGCGAATGAAATTGCAGGACGACTGCAGGTTGATATTCGTTCAGGTCTAAGGTGGTCGGAGGCGAAATATAGATCAAAGATAATAGGATTAAATGAATTAAATGTTATTGAAGAAGACCCAACATGGAAGAAGTATATTGAACAATTTAAAAACCCTTTGATACTGCTATTATTAGGCTCAGCAGCCGTATCAGTGTTTATGAGACAATTTGACGATGCTGTTAGTATAACAATAGCAATAATAATAGTTGTTACAGTAGCTTTTATACAAGAGTATCGTTCAGAAAAGAGTTTAGAAGAATTAAAAAAATTAGTACCACCAGAATGTCATTGTTTAAGAGAAAGTAAATTGGAAACATTTTTAGCGAGGGAACTTGTGCCTGGAGACATTGTCTATTTAAATGTTGGTGACAGAGTTCCTGCTGATGTAAGATTATTTGAAGCAATTGATCTATCCATAGATGAATCAAGCTTTACTGGAGAAACTGAGCCATCCAGAAAAAATACTGAAGTAATGTTCTATAATGGAGCAAATAAAGATCATTCAAATATGAAGAACATTGCTTTTATGGGAACATTAGTACGTTGTGGTAGTGGAAAGGCAAGCCTAAATTTTTATAAAATATTTACCTAAAGTAAATTTAAAATCTAATTATTATTTTTAGGGAATTGTTGTCAGTACAGGTGAAAGGAGTGAATTTGGAGAAGTTTTTAAAATGATGCAAGCAGAAGAAGCACCAAAGACCCCTCTACAAAAATCTATGGATATACTTGGAGCTCAACTTAGCTTTTATTCGTTTTTGATAATTGGTATAATAATGTTACTCGGTTGGCTGCAAGGAAAACCTTTGCCACAAATGTTCAACATTAGCGTGAGTTTAGCTGTTGCAGCTATTCCAGAGGGTTTACCAATAGTTGTAACGGTTACTCTCGCGCTGGGTGTAATGCGAATGGCTAAGCGAAATTCAATAGTTAAAAAATTGCCCACTGTTGAAACTTTGGGATGTGTTAATGTTATTTGTTCTGATAAAACTGGGACAATTACAAAAAATGAAATGACCGTTACGGTTGTTATAACAAGTGACGGTTACATGGCAGATGTAACAGGTGCTGGATATAATGACCATGGAGAACTTCATATCAGATCGTGCAACAGTATTGAATTGGCAAAACAAAATATTTCAACATTATTAGAAATTGGAGCAGTTTGCAATAATGCGTACATTCAAAACGATACACTAATGGGGCAGCCAACTGAGGGTGCCCTATTAGCAGTTGCAATGAAAAATGGACAGTATGCAGTAAATGACAATTATATCCGAATACAGGAATATCCTTTTTCATCGGAACAGAAAACTATGGCAGTTAAATGCGTTCAAAAATACAATAACAATAAAGAAGAAATATTCTTTGTTAAAGGTGCTTTAGAAATGCTATTACCTTCTTGTACTAAATTTATGTATGGATCGCATGTTAAAACGTTAACAAAGCAAAATGAAGTAGAATTTCTAGCTGAAGCTTATGAAATTGGTAGAAAGGGTTTAAGAGTTTTAGCCTTAGCTAAAGGGAAGTCTATGCAAGATTTGGTTTACTGCGGCCTAGTTGGAATAACAGATCCGCCAAGGCCACTTGTAAGAGAATCGATTGAAATTTTAAGTCAAAGTGGAGTACGAGTGAAAATGGTGACTGGTGATGCTCAAGAAACTGCTTTAGCAATTGGTAAATTTTTAAAAAGAAATATGATTGTGGTATTAATTGATGTATTCATTTCAGCTAACCAAATTGGTTTAGATACCATTCATCACCAAACCTTATCGGGGTTGGAAATGGATCAAATGAGTGAAATGCAATTAGAAAAAATTATCAATAATGTTACGGTTTTCTATCGTGTTACCCCAAAACATAAACTAGCCATAGTCAAAGCATTACAGCATGCTGGAAATATTGTTGGAATGACTGGCGATGGTGTTAATGATGGGGTTGCTTTGAAAAAGGCTGATATAGGCATTGCTATGGGTAAAAATGGAACTGATGTTTGCAAAGAGGCTGCCGACATGATACTTGTCAATGATGACTTTTACACAATCATGTTAGTTAAATAAACTTCTGTTTTTTCAATTTTATATTTTAATTTTTCTCTAAAGTATTTTAATATTTTTGATATTTATACCTTTTTTTTTTGTTCTACATTTTTCAGAGCTGCAATTGAAGAGGGCAAAGCTATTTTTTACAATATACGAAATTTCGTTCGTTTTCAGTTAAGTACATCTATAGCAGCTTTATCTTTAATTGCATTAGCTACTTTAATGGGCATTGCAAATCCTTTAAATGCAATGCAAATTCTTTGGATTAATATAATTATGGATGGACCGCCAGCCCAATCATTAGGTGTAGAACCAGTAGATCAGGATGTTTTAAAGCAAAAACCGCGTAACGTTAAACAACCAATGATAACAAAAGCTGTTATTGTAAATGTTTTACTTAGCGCTAGTATCATTATATTGGGTACTTTATGGGTATTTCAACGTGAAATGGCAGATGGTTCAATGGGTTTAACAAAACGTGATACAACAATGACATTTACTTGTTTCGTTTTCTTTGATATGTTTAACGCTTTAAGTTGTCGATCTCAAACAAAGAGTATTTTTAAAATTGGTTTAACATCCAACAAAATGTTTTTAATGGCAGTTGCATTTTCAGTAATTGGTCAAATGTTAGTTATATACTTTCCACCCTTACAAATGGTTTTTCAAACTGAAGCATTATCAGCGTATGATATATTATTTTTGGTTAGTTTAACATCTTCAGTTTTTATTGTTTCTGAATTCAAAAAATGGTTTGAACGTGCCATGGAACGTAAACTGTATAAAGCTAGATCCGATTTAGATTTTGTATGACAAAACGAATGCGCTGAAGATATTTTGAAAAATGATTAAAAATCTAATATAATAATTTCAATAAAACATAAAAAAAAAAAAACAAAAAAAAAACAATATTACAATATACCCACAGTGAAATAAGAAAAAAATAGACAAATAATAATAGTCATGATTGATGTTCACAAACTATTTTGTATGATCAAATGAATACAATTAAGAAGAGCATGTAAGAAGTTTGTAAGAGTTTATAATTTAGTTATGCATGTTATAATTTCAATTTTAGATTATTACAGGTTTCTCTTAGATTTAAATTTATACTTTAATAATTTAAACCTTTAAAATAATTTAATTTTTAATAATAAAACAAAAAGTTTTGTGATATAAAAATAATTGATTGTATTACATTATTAGTTAGGTTCTCTTAGTTTATAACGTACCCATACATATTATGGTCATTTGTATATTATTAGAAAAATTACTTCAAAATTTTTTTCATTCAATTATTATTCAATAATAAAAAAGATAAATAAAGTAAACAAATTCGTTCTTTATATGGGTTTTATTAATAAAATAGATTTCTATAACGAGTTCAATATTTTTTGGTTAAAGCGGTTTTGCATCACATGACTTTTAAAAATTGGAATTAAATAATGTCTTCTATTTTTTGCTTACTGTGTTTTTTTTTAAATCTGCTTCAATATTAATTTAAAAATTATTCTTTCATATTATAAAAGAACAATATCCATTTATGTTAAATTTATTGACAACCTTATTTATGTGATATTACATTTTAAGATACGAACTCAACTTGATACTAATAAGGGGTAACTTTAAACAAATAATGTTTATTTACAGTAAAAGTAGGAAAATATTTAATTAATTTTTCTTTTTAAGTACAGAGTTTATAATTTTCTTTGAATTATTTCTTTATTCTACAAATAATAATTAAATAATGTAAAAGAATTGAAATAAATTTTTGATGAAAAAAAATTCTTTCAAAATCTATGTTTTTTATTTTTTATTTTGTTTTTCCTTCCACTTTTTTTTTTCTTTTGAATGAACAAATGATTGCTGTACAACTATAAAATTTACTAATATATTGTATATTTAATTTTACATTTATATTTAAAAACTTTATTAGAAAATATATCATTGTAGATTTTCTTAATATTAGTTGATTACCTAAATTGAAAAAGAAAATATTAATTCAAATATTGAAAACACATGAATTGAAAACAATAAGACAGCATGTACTACATCTTTGAAAATCAAAACTATTAGTTATAGTCACTTTTGCAAAAATAGAATTCTGATTTCATAAAATAATTATTTTCATATTCACTTTCAAAAATTTACCAAAATATTACTTACTGTTAATATAATAAACTTCTTACTATGATCGGTATCTAATTTATGAGGAACGCTGCAATATTGTAATAAATAAATTAGGACCAACTTTTAACTAGGATTCCTAACTCAAAAAATTTCGCTACTCTTTGGACAATTCTATTTAACTTTAAAATCGTATGTAAATTCTTTTACTATTTTACATTTAATAAACGTAAACTTAATAATTGGAGTAAATAATTCATTTTTCATTCAAATAATATTTAATTCTTTATCAATTATTGCTGCGCTCTTAAAATATAGGTGCTAATTGGATTTATCTTATTTTAGTTTGCATTTTTGTTGAACCTTAAAATTATTTAATATTTGAACTACATACATATGTGTATGTCTTTTAATCCTAATATTTGAATCGTGTGCGTGCAAAAAACCAACTTAAATTTACCCATTAATCAATATCTGTTAACCAACATGACAATAAATATTTAAATACAATTTTTTTTTATAGTTTAATATAATTAAATATTTAAAATAAATAATTTTTCATCTACTTGATATTAGTCAAAGATGTATTGAAATTAAATGTGTGATGCAAAAACGGCTGATAAAAATCATTTAGCTTTCAAAATGAAAGAAAATTCTTATTAAAATATTTTCTGCCAATAAATGTTATGAATTTAAATTATACATCACATATTATATAGTTAAAAAAGAAAAGTAAAAGTAAATATTTTTTAAAAATTATAAATCGGTACTGAAATGAAGATTATTGGTGCTTGTAACAATAATAATTATAAGGAAAATATTTGAAGAAAAATGGCAAATGCATTTTTTTTGCAACATTGTGGAAGACAGTAGTAAAGAACAGAGTAATGAAATCAAAAAGTATCTAAGAAATTAACAGTATAAATAATTTTAAAACACTATATGAAAACTGATTTTTAATAATTTTTTAAAAGTTTTTAAATTTTATCTTAATTTAATTTGAAAAATCCCGAACAATTTTAGGTAAAAAAGATAAATATGTTTTATTTGCAAAAAGTTGTGAACCAGTTTATCTGTAAAAAAAATTAACAATGTACAACCAAAAATATACCAAATATTATGAAAACATTAATTATATTATAATATAAAATAACTGGGTATTAAGAAATACTTTTGAAAAACATAATATAAAACCAACCATTTATTGAAAAATAGTACTAAATAATACACCAACCAAAAATAATGTAAGTCATTCAAATATAACAAAAATTAAATATATTGAAAAAATAAACAAATAAATTATGAAAAAATTATTCAAAATGAAAAATCTTCAAGCGCATTGAAACAAACAAAAAAAAACAAAAAATATTTGATTAAAGCTATAAAAAAAATGTTTATAGAATGTATAAAAACATTTAAAAAAATATTCAAATTTAATTACTAAAGACTATGTTGTTAAATTTAACAACAATAAATGAAAGAAAATGAAATGTTGAATTAAAAAAGTGAATTCAGTATAAAATTGAAAGAACAATAAAGCATTAGATGATATTTATGGATTAATAATACAAAAAATAATTTTTAAATTTAAGAAATTAAGTAGTAAACAAAAAGATTAATTATTTTATTTACTGGTATTTAATATAGAAAATAAACAAGAAATTTGTTTTATCTAACTAATATAAATCACAAATTGTAATTTCGAAAACAAAACATATGTATATTAAAATTATAACATTATGTTTATGTAAACGAATCCACAATGAAAAAAGAAAAACCATTAGAAAAATTTTTAGAAATTAAAAAGTGTATCAGAATTTTATTATTCTTATTATTATCAAAAATATCACAAGCAATAGACCGCATCATTGTCACTCACAAAATAGTTTGGTTTCTTAAAAAAAAAATTCAAAAAATATAAGAATACACACCAATTTTAATAAAAATTTACACACTCAATATATTATTATGCATTTTACGAAATTTACACATAGCAAAAGATAGAATTGCAGAAATACAAAATAATTGATTACAAAAAGATTAACTCTATAATTTTAAAGTTTTTAAAAAAGCTTTGATTTGTAATGTAATATTAAAAGTAAGAAAATGAAATTCAGCAATCTTTCATAAAAACAAAATTCAAATTCTTTAATATGAAAAGAAAAAAAAAAACTTTTATTAATAATCAATTAAAAAACTCACTTTTAATAAAAATAAGAAATCAATTGTTCTTCTTTTTAATATTAATTAACTCGATGAAAATTAAATATTTAATCATCATAAAAATTTGTAATTTTATTATTTAAAAAAATCACTTGTATCATTAAGATCATATACAACATAAGCTTTAGATGTTTAAGACTCAAATTAAAAAACAAAAATTAAGCGCACGAAGATTTTATGCAATATTTTGTTTTCTATTTTTTCATTTCTAATTTTTTATTTGTATTCTTCACCTTCACAAACAAAAAAAAACTTAAATAAAACACTAACTTATTTTATATGTAAATTAAAAAAATTCTTAAAAAATCACTTTGAAGAATGACTTCTGAGAACATTATTCTTAAAAAGTATTTCTAATATATATACTTAAAAATTCAACTAAATTGCACAATTATTAAAAAAATAATTATGTTTCAATTATTAATATTTAATACAAAATTCTAATTGAATAATTTGAAAATAAAGTCGAATTTTATCTAATATTATATGTACGAATTATGTAGATAGAAATACTTATGTTAAAAACCGTATAATTTGAAAAGATTATTACTTGTTTTTGCTTATATTTTTTTTTGCAAAAAACAAAAAAGACCATAAAAAAAAACAACATAACTTAATTTACCTTTACACAGCAAACTAGTTAACTAAATCATCATTATCTATAAATCAGTCATATCATACTTTCATCAAATCGTCAGATTTATTTTAATTACCAACCTGTTTCTGATACAAAATAAAGGAAAAATCCAAACAATAAGTATATTTATGTATATCATAAAAATTCTCAATGATTAATTATGTTAAAAACTTAACTAAGTACAATATTTTTTTATTTATTCAAAATTAAAAATCTGAATTATTAAAAAATACTCATCTTAAACATATCTCATCATAAAAATCATTCTGAACAAAGAAATAATTCATTCTGAGACAAAAAGAAATAATTAAAAGAAATATATTTAGAAAGAACAATAATAAAACTTAATCAAATATAATAAATAAATAAAATATAAAAAATAATCAATAGAAAATTAAAAATTAAATAAAACCAGAGACACATATCATGCTCATAACAATTATAATATTCGTTTTTTTAATTTCATTAATTGTCTTGATCTATAACATTTTCTTTACAATAAATTCTAGCTTTATTGATTTAATTAGAAATTCGACCATGAAAATTTTAAAATTACCTTTTGTGTACTTGACACAGTTTTTTTTTTACTTTTCCGTTTATTTTACCTTCAAAACTTATTTACTTTTCTTTAAAAGACACCTACTAATTAAACTTTGAACACAAATTGCATTAATGTTAATTAAAACAAAAATTCTAATAAAAAAATGTTATGCCATTTGAGTGAAACTTATAAAAAGTTTTCTTTTTATTTCGCAAGTTTCATACCGAATAAACAAGCCTCCATAAATAAATTATTTGAAAATAAAAATAAAGAAAAAAAAAGAAAGATTTTGTTTTAAATAAAATTTGTTTGTCCTTCTCAATTAATTTTTAGTCAAATTATTTTAATAATTTTTCATTACTCTTAAGAGTTAATTGTTATTGATAAAACAAGATAATTTCAAAATGATTTATTCTTTACTAAAATAAAAAATTGAAACAATTTTTATTATTTGCTTATTTAATCCAGAAGAGACAAAAAATATTTTTTCAAAATTTTAATAATTACAACAAAAAATATTCTAAATTAATTTTTGAACCGTTTGTTTTATTTGAAGTGGTAAAATCTATTTAAACTTTCTTAAATATATTTTAAACACTTTACAATAATTTAATTAAAATAATATTGGCTAAACAATATTTATTAGTTAAGTGTAGGATATCATTTGATTTTACAGGCTTTAATATATAAAAAAAAAATTGTCTTAGCTTTGAAAACATTCTGAATGTATTTTTTGGGACCAAAATTGTTGTTTTCACAATTAAAAACTATTTTCAAAATAACACTTTTTTTTTATTTAAAATAAAATAAATTTTGAT